GGAATTTTAATGACTGAGAATGAGGTGTGCTGCTCAGAACCAGTCCAGATCTGATGAGGATTGTTCTCATCAGGCATAAAGCATGTGCAAAACTTTCACGAATGGAGACCTCAAGACCCCTTCTCCGTGGGCTTCATCTCTTTGTTGGAGCAGTTTGTGCCCCATCAGAGCTGTATGTTTTCTCGGTTGTTTTTTTTTTCTGCTTCACAGAAGTATGAGAATTATCTGTAAAACTGAGTTAAGGCCTTTCTTCAAAATTACTATCCTGAAGTGCAAAGGCCCCCAGAGAGCATCAAGCTTCTCATGAGTTGCGGGGAGAGGCTGGTAAGGCAGAAGAAGAGGATGGAAAGCATTATTTGGTTGCAAGTGCGTGCCTCCTTTTCAGGTGCTGGAAAGCGGTACAAAGATTGGCACTTCATACGGGAAGCAAAGTCAGAAATGAACTCCTTCAATTTAATGACCAAGACTTTGTGCATGTGCAAATTTTCTAATCCCAGAAGAAGCTAAGGCAAATACTATTATCAAAGGCGCATAGCTGTTCAGTAAATCAGCCAGGCTTCTTTGTGCTATCAGCACATCTACAGATAAGAATTACATCTCCTCAAAGCACGTATCTGGAGTGTAGTGTAATAAGTTGTGTTGTTGAAGCAGCCTGGAAAGCAGTGGCAATTAGATGAAACATTCTTTGTTTTTAATGAGCATGGGAAACATCTCTATAGTTGGTCTGTTCAGGCTCAGAGGGAAGGGTTTCCCCTTATTAGAGCTCTCTGCCGTGGTTCAACAGAGAATTCAGGTAAATGTGAGCAGCTAAAAGGATATTTTTTTGGGAATGATTTAGATTGCCACAGTCCTGTGAACAGGAGTTTTCCTTTGGGGTGCACCTCTCCTGACAGGTGCTGGCTCCAAGGACAGAGCAGAGCAGCCTTAGCCCAGGCTCTCTTCATTGGCACCCTCTTAGCTTCACCTGGAGGGGTACGGTGAGGCTCATAACATTGATGTTCTTCAGTGCGTTGTTGCAGGAGTTAGATCCTTATGAGAGCCTTAAAAAAAAAGAAAATTGGCAGGAGAGGGCCACATTTCTTGTCACCAGGATGGAAAAGCATCAATGTCCATGTGTGCGCCTGGGCGTGTGTCCAGCCTTTGCTCTGCTGAGGTGTTTGTGCAGGGATGGGCTCAGGTGCACGGTGTGACTCCCGTATTTGCTGGGCTGGAGTGCTGTGCTCGGGCTTGTTAGCATATTCACCAGTGAATGATCTAAATTACCTGAAAATTCAAGCGTCTGGAATGAGTTGGTGTCTAAATTCTTCATTACGAGTAGTGGAGCCTTTGGCCGCTGGGTGATTTGAAGCCTCCAGGATGCTGTAACCCATCCAAAGGTGGAGATTTCAGTGCAGGCAAACTTATGCAGCCCATGTCTGCGCTGAGACTCTGGGGGACTTGTTATATTTGTATTTGTCAGGGTTGTGTAGGTAGGTGTTTTCCCTACGGCTTCTTATTCAATGCCAGTCTGATTCATACTTTCAGCTACTTGTCATTTCTGCGATTAAATTCCTTAGTGGTGATAAGGTCTGGAGGAAAACAAAGATAACAAGACAAGGCTAGAATGTGCTTGTTGCAGACTTGCCTAGTTTATGGATATTTCCTAAATTGTTTCTTTTTCAGATTAGTTCTAAATGAGCTTTTCCTCTTGCTTCCCAGATTGATAAATGCACAGGAAGGCAAAA